GGAGGAGAAAGAGACAAACAATTCCCAACCTCCATTTGAAGCTGACTTTTGATGACTTGAAAGCTACGGAAAAAGTAAAGACATGTTTCATCCTATTCTAGGAAATACATGCATGTTTTTCATTGTCCAAAGCAACTTTGTTTATAGTTATGTATTCATGAACTGTGTGCACAGCCCCTTCCGGAATCCTTAATGAAGAAGGCTTAACGAAGGAGTTGGCTGAAATAATAACCACAGCTATTATTTATTGAGCACTTCCCATTCCTCATTTAACACACTACCTCATTTAACAACCATTTGAATTAGGTGTGATTATTATCCCTGATTTATAAGTGATGAAACTGAGGCCAGAGATTAAGTATCTTGCCCAGGGTGACACACCTGGAAATGGGGGAGTCAGGATCCAATATAAGAAAATTTATACTAAGGGCTGACCCAGTGGTGCACTGCTATAGTGCGCAGCTTGGGAAGCACGGCGGCGTTCCCGCCAGAGGGTTCTGATCCCACATACAGACCGGTTCCCGCTCACTGGCTGAGCGAGGCGCGGGAGCAGCGCCGAGGGTTACAATCCCGTTGCCGGTCCCCGGTCCGGTACGGGGGCAACACTGAGGGTTGCGATCCGTTGCCGGACACGGAAAAAGACAAAAGACAAAAAAATAAAAATAAAAAAAAAAATAAAAAAAAATAAAAAGAACTTACGGCAAGCAATTACAAAGTTAGAGAGAAGAATCTGAAGTCTTCAATAAACTAATTCATCTGCCAGAGAACCAGTCTCTGGATGAAAAAATAAAATAAAATAAAATAAAATAAAATAAAGATTGGCATCTGGCCTAGCCTAGGAAGACAGTTACAATTGTTCCATTCGGGGTACAGCTTGTTCATGGGAACAGAGACTTGGGGAGACAGAAACCTTGGGCTAACAGAAGGAAACACAATGTTACACTCTGGGTACTGCTTGCTCAGCCTGCTGGTGGGATCAGAGACTTAGGGAGATAGAAACTTAGAGGAATGAAACTGAAGAGTGGGGGCTTTCTAAAAGTCACGTTTTCAATTCCAGAGACCTAACAACATTCAAATAATTTTATACTGTTGTATATGTAGTTTAAAGACCTTAGAGCCGTATAGTCTCAATTTCCCCTTCCCATACTTTGCACTATTGTGTTCAGTTTGTTACTGTTACATGTGCCATAAACACATCTTAGATTCCTTTATTTTTCTGTAATGTAGTCAATTATCTTAAATAACAATAAAAAGCTCTAAAACTTAAAAAAATGTTGTCACTTTCTTCTTAAGACTCTTCATTTTAGAAAAAACTACAGTAAAAATAAGTGTAAGGTAAGAGAACAGGCTATAAGTTTCTTAGAAGTATCATTAATCCAAAATTTCTACTTCTGGTTTGTTTAGGAATATTTGTCTTTTGTTCCTTTCTCCTAACATGATTAAATGAATACCTAAAATATTCCATTTAATTAAGAGTTCAATTTAGTTTTCTTCTAATTAATAAAGATTTTACCAGAAATGATCTGTGTTTATCAACTTCATAGCCACAGTTCAATTATATCACCATGTTAAGTCAAAGTGATTCATAACTTATTTCTGTGGTGCTATTTGTTACCTTACATATAAGTAAAAACTATGACTTTTTGTTGCTAAATTTGATCTTTAGCTAGGTGTGTATTATGTAAATGTTGAGATAATTTTTATGGAGTGAAAAAAAGATGTTTGAAAAAAATAGGACAATAGCCATTAACCTCATTTTTCCCTTTGGCCAAGTCTACAATGTACATTGTAATATCAATTAAACAAATGAATATTTATCAATCAAAAAAAAAATAAAAATGGGGGCAAAAGACTTGAATAAACATTTTTTCCAAGGAAGATATACAAATGCCCAGCAGGCATATGAAAAGGTGCTCAGAATTGCTAATCATCAGGAAAATGCAAATCAAAGCAAGAAGATACCACCTCACTCTGTTAGGATGGCTATTATCAAAAGGACTAGAGATAAAACGTGTTGGCGAGGATGTGGAAAACAGGAAGCTTGTGTACATTGTTGGTGGAGATGCAGTTTCATTCAGCCATTACAGAAAACAGTGTGTATGTTTCTCAATAATTAAAAACTGCACTACCATATGATCCAAAATAGTCTGCTTGATTATTTTGTCTTTGTGGCCAGAGCTTTTTGGTGTCATTTTTCAGAATATCATTGCCATGGCCAATGTAAAGGAGCTTTCACCCTGTTTTCTTGTGGGAGTTTTAGGGATTCATGTCTTCAGTTTAAGTCTTTAATTGATTTTGAGTCCATTTTTATGTATGGTGTAAGAAAAGGGTCCAATTTCATTCTTTTTCATGTGGATATTCCTTTTGTGGGTGCATACGCAAAGGAAATGAAATCAGTACCTTAAAGAGACAACTGTGCTCCCATGTTCACTTCAGCAATTATTCCCAATAGCCAAAATATATAAGCAACTTAAGTGTCCACTGGTGGGTGGATGTTAAAGAAATACTGTATTATCTTTTAATTCTATTTTTTCCATGAACTTTTTGGAGTACCCTCATGTTATCTAAAGATCTAAGTGATGGGGGAAAAAATCCCATGTTGATGGATCAGAAACCTTAATGTTGTAAAGTTGGTTTATTCCCCTAATCAGTCTACAGATTCAACACAATCTTCGAAACCCAGTGGATTTCTTTGTAGAAATTGACAAGATGATTCTAAAATCCATGTGGAATTATAAGTGACTCATAATAGCCAAAACAATATTGAAAAAGTAGAACAAAGTGGAAGGGCTCACACTTCCCAGTTATGAAACCTACTGCAAAGTAGTGATAATGAAGACAGTGTGGTGCTGGTACAAGGAGAGCCATGCAGATCAATGGCTTCTTCAACCAGGGGCGCTGAGGCAGCTGGATATTCAAATGCAGAAGAATGGAGTTGAATGCTTTCTTTATATATTATTTAAAAAATACAAATTGGACCAAAAAACTAAACATAAGAGCTAAAGCTACAAAACTCTTAGAAGAAAACAAAGGGTAAATCTTCACGGTATTGGATTTGGCAAAGGATTCTCAGATAGGATGCAAAAGCATGGACAGCAAAAGAGAAAAAGAAAGATACTTTGATTTTATCAAAATTAAAAACATTTGTGCTTCAAAAGACACCATCAAGAATGTGAGACAGCCCATGAATGGGAGGAAATATTTGCAAATTATATATCTGATAAGGGCCTTGTATCTGGAATATATAAAGTACTCTTATCAACTCAATCATGAAAAAGACAAAACAGCTAATTAAAAATGGGCAAAAGGTCTGAGTACATATTTCTCTAAAGATGATTTTTAATTGGCCATTAAAGCACAAGGAAAGGTGCTCAACATCGTTAGTCATCAGGGACATGCAAATAAAAGCTGTAATGAGATATCGCTTCACATCCACTAGAACGACTAGAATCAAAAAGTCAGATATCGGGTGAGGAGAAACTGGAACCCTCAAACATTGCTAGTGGAAATGTAAAATGATACATCTGCTTTGGAAAACAGTAGCAGTTTCTCAAACAATTAAACATAGAGTTACCACATGACCCAGGAAGTAAACTGGTGGCTCCTTAGAGGACGGGGCATGGTGGGGGAGTGACAGCTAAAGGGTACAGGGTTTGTTTTTGAGGTGATGAAAAGGCTCTAAAATTGACTGTGATGATTGTTGCTTGCACATATCTGTGAATGCTAAAACACCACACCACAGAATTGTACACTTTAAAGAATGTAAACTTTAAAGAGTGAGTTGTATAGTGTGTGAATTATATCTTAATAAAGTTGTTTTTAAAAAAATTTCACATTGGTGAAAATTGACACTTGCTTATTCATAAAGTGTAGGATTTGAGAAATGGAGAGTAGGAATAAGACCTTAAACCACCTCTTCATGTCTGGAACCTAGATATGTCCTTTCCTCCCTCTGATGCTGTCTTGGAAGTCTTCCTGTCTGTTCTTCAGATGTCATGGTTGGTCTTCACCCATTGCATTTCTATATAAATTTTAGAATCGGCTTGTAAATTTTCATAAAAATTTTGTTTAGATTTTTATTAGGATCGTATTGATTCTACATGTCAATTTTTACACCAGCAAAGACATCTTTACAGTATAGACTTCTTTAAATCCTTGAGCATATGACATCATTCCATGTAAAATATTTATTTCTCTCAATAACTTTATATTTTTCTGTATAGAGGCTGTCTCAAAGACTTTAATTTCTTGTTTCTACTATAACTATTTTAATTTCTAAGAAAAAACTTCAGTCATTTAAGTCACCTGTGTGTGTGCATGATTTTCTATATATTTTCATATTTCATATAGATTAAATTGTGAATGAGAAAAGTAATTACAAATATACAGTAGTTTTATTCTATGACTTCAGGTTATTTTCCATATAAATGAATTAACCACTTATAATTTCTCTTTAAATATTTTTTTCAAAGAAAAATCAATTGATTTCAAAACATAATCGAGGGTTGCCCCTGTTTCATTTACCTCAACATACAGCTATTTTAATGATTAAATATTATTTATAATGTGATACAGCTTTTATAATACACTTGAGAATTTTTGTGTACCCCAAATAGCCATTAGATTATTTGTGATGTCAATAACGTTGAAATTTACAATATGTGACAGGATTATGGTATGTGTAACACAGATAGAAGTGATCATTAGACATTTTGCATTTATGATAAGTTAGACTTCTTTCTCTACAGTTCGAGGCTTTTCTTCAGAAAAAGATTTTGAGAAGTACATTAGGGATGAAAATAAGTCTGTTCGTGTGCTGGCTGCGATCGTATTTGATCATAACTTCAAACAAAGCAATGATCCTTTGCCGCTTCAGGTAAGAAAGTTTCATCCAAAGACGTGCTAATTATATTTTTACATTTTATGGCTTTAATAAGACATAGGTAGCATCCCCATTTTATAAATGGGATAAACTATAACTTGCCCAGATCATAACTGCTAGTTTTATAACAGAGCAGGGATTTGAATCTAGCACCAACTTACTTTAATACCTGTGCTTTTAACCATTACGTTGTCCTTATGAGGAGAAAACTATCTGCCACCCTAAGATTTTATATTGACAGAAAATGGAATGATAGGAATGTTAACTAGAAAAGATATGAACTTTGCCAGTCTTTCTGGTCAGGCAGATGCTTCCAGACCTGCAAATAGTGATTGAGAAAATGAGAATATAGCCAGGTAAAAGACTGAGAGTCAAAGCAGATACATATGCCCTAGCAGAGATTCTAGCGTGTAAAACTTCTTGTTCGAGTGAATTACTTAATTTCTGTTCTGAATCTCTAGAAACAGCTCTCAGGCTCAGCCAGGTTGTATTAGAATGAGGACAATGACAGACGCTGAAGAGATTATGATATTCGTCAGCGAGAACAGGAAAGGACAGTGCTTTGAACTTGGTGACTTGGTGTATTTCTTTACCAGATCTTATAGATGTGCTGCCTAGTGTTGAAGGAAATAATCAAATTACAGCATCTTTGCATAGAGCCAAATCATGCATTTAGTATACACGTGTTTGCCTATGGAAGGAAAGAGAAAGGAAAGTAATTGACAGGACAGTTGGTGCTCTTTTTTCCTGTCCCATACCCCCTCCTCATTCTTTCCATAAGTGTCTCCTTTACTCTAATTACTGTCTTAAAAGTATGAAGGATCTTCAAAAAGTTCATGAAAAGATTCATATTGTCTTTTAATTCTGTGTTTCCATGGACTTCTTGAGGTGCCCTCGCATATGCTGATGCTGATTCATTGGTTCATTGGTGTACATAGACCCTCTGGCTCAAATATCACATAATTTTGGTGCAGTTACAAGGTTCATTTTTGTTGTTGATCCACTGTGGCTAGCATTTGGAATGTTTCCCTGACAATTTTTTTCCCCAGTTTATTTGCCAGGTACCTGTTCTCTTCTTCCACAATTTACTGAACAAAATTTCTAATCTCTGTTTTCTGACTTTGTGGCTGGTATATAAGACCTCTTATAACCACCAGCTCCTCTATAGCTTGGCTGATTTTCCTGGACAGGACTAGTTTAGCAACATAGGTGCCACAGTGACCCATAAGAACACGGAAAAGATCATGTCACCATCCTGCATAAAAGACTCCAGGGGTTCCCCGTTACCTACAGAAGGTCCTCTGCGTGGGGTACGAGGCCCTCAGTGACCTGTTTTCTGCATGCCTCTCCAGCCTCCTTCTGCCTCTTCATTGTCTGATTCTATGTTCTGGCAATAATGAGCCACGAGCCGTTCCCCACAGCACTGAGTTCTCTCTCGCCTTTCTGCCTTGGATCACATTATCCTCTCCTTTGGTGCTCCCCCTCTCCCTCTCTTCCTTGGGTAACTCTTATTAATTCTTTAAAATGCTTGGCTATGACTGCTCATATAAAGTCTCCTTCCTCTTCCCGCTTCTTTAAAAAAAAAAGTAATGTCATTTATTTTTTTTAAATTTTATTTATTTTTTAATTGTCACATACTGTACGTATTTATGGGGTACAGAGCTCTATTTCAGTATGTCCAAACAATGTGTGATGATCAGATTGGAGTAATTAGCATGTTCATCACCATAAAAAAATTGTTATTTCTTTTTGATGAGAGCATTTGATCTCCTCTCTTCTAGCCATTTGAGAACATACAATAAGTTATTGTTAATTATAGATGCCTAGCACTACAGTAGACCACCAGGACACTTATTTTTCCTATTTAGTTGTACTTTTGTTTCTGTTAACCAGACTCTTCTTATCCCCCCTCCTTCCACTTCCCAGCCTCTAGTAACCACAATTCTGCTATTTTCTATGAGCTCAACGTTTTTTAGCTACCACATATGAATGAAAACATGAGGTATTTGTCTTTCTGTGCCTGACTTACTTCACTTAGCATAATGTCTTCCAAGCTTATCCATGATGCTGCTAATGACAGGATTTCATTCTTTTTTGTGGCTGAGTAGTATTCCATTGTGTATATATACCACATTTTGTTTATCTGTTCATCTGTTGATGGACACCTAGGTTGATTCCATATCTTGGCTATTGTGAATAGTGCTGCACTAAACATGGTGGTGTAGATATATCTTTGGTATGCTCATTTCCTTCCCTTTGGGTAAATACCCAGACATGGGATTGCTGGATCATATGGTCATTCTGTTTTTACTTTTTTGAGAAACTTCCAAACTGTTTTCCATAATGGCTGTACTAATTTACATTCCTACCAACAGTTTCCTTTTTCCTGCATCCTCACCAGCATTTGTTAATTTTGTCTTTTTGATGATAGCCATTTGAACTGGGGTGAGATGATATCTTATTATGGTTTTGGTTTGCACTTCCCTGATGATTAGCGATGTTGAGGAGCTTTTCCATATACCTGTTTGCCTTTTGTACGTTGTCTTTTCAGAAATGTCTGGGTCATTTGCCCAATTTTTAATTGGATCATTATTATTATTATTATTTGCTGTTAAGTTGTTTAAGTTCCTAATATATTCTGGATATTAATCTCTTGTCAGAAGAATATTTGCAAATATTTTTTTCCAATTCTGCTGGTTGCCTGTTCACTCATTTGAGTGTTTCTTTTACTGTATAGAATCTTTTTAGTTTGATGTAATTTCATTTGTCTGTTTTTGCTTTTCTTGCAGGTGCTTTAGAAGTCTTCTTCATAAAATTTTTCCTTAGATCAATGTCTTAAAGTGTTTCCCCTATGTTTTCTTCTAGTAGTTTTATAGCTTCAGGTCTTATATTTAAGGCTTTAATCCATTTGTGTTGATTTTGGTATATGGATTCTGCATATGGATATCCAGTTTTCCCAGCACCATTTATTGAAGAGGCTGTTCTTTCCACAATGTATGTTGTTGGTAGCTGTGTCAAACATCAGCTGGCTGTAGATACATGGATTTATTTGTCGGTTTACTCTTCTGTTTCATTGGTTCATGTCTTTTTGTAGGACAGTACCATGCTATTTTGATTACTATAGTTTTGTTGTATTTTTGAAGTCATGCAGTGTAATGCCTCCAGCCTTGTTCTTTTTGCTCAGGATTGCTTTGCCTATTCAGGGTCTTTTGTGGTTCCATAGAAATTTTAGAATCTTTTTTTTCTATTTCTGTGAAGACTGTCACTGGTATTTTGAAAGGGATTGCTTTTAATCTGCAGATTGCTTTCAGTAATATGGTCATTGTGACAATATGAATTCTTCCAATCCATGAATATGGGATGTCTTTCCATTTTTTTGTATCCTCTTTAATTTCTTTCATCGGTGTTTTATAGTTTTCATTGTAGAGAACTTTCACCTCCTTGGTTAGATTTATTCTTAAGTATTTTATGTCTTTGGAAGCTATTGCAAATGTGATTGCTTTTTCAGCTAGTATGCCGTTGGTATATAGAAACACTAATTTTTGTATGTTGATTTTGTATCTTTACTGAATTTGTTTATCAGTTCTAAGAGTTTTCTTGGTGGATTCTTTCCTTAGATTTCTCTTTATATAAGATCATGTCATCTGCCAACAGGAACAATTGGCTTCCTCCTTTTCAATTTGGATGTCCTTTATTTCTTTCTTTTGCCTAATTGCTCTGGTTAGGACTTGCTGTAGGTGGTTTTCTGTAGTGATAAAATATAATGTTTTTCTGTTTCTCATTTATATATCTGCTCTACCATTGAGTTTTATGCTTTTGTGTGTTTTTATGATTCTTGTTATTGTCCTTTTCCTTCCAAGTATAGAATTCCCTTATGGATTTATTGTAGAGCCACTTTAATGGTGATGAATTCTCTTAGTTTTTGAAGAAGGATAGCTTTGCTGGTTATGGTATTCTTCTGTGTCAGTTATTTTTTCTTTTAGAACATTGAATATATCATCCTATTCTCTACTGGCCTTTTAGGTTTTGCAGAGAAATCTGCTGTTAGTCTGATGGGGATTCCCATATAGGTCACTTGATGCTTTTCTCTTGCTCTTTTTAGAATTCTCTCTTTGTGTTTGATTTTTGACAGTTTATCTATAATGTGCCTTGGATAGGACCTTTTTGGGTTAAATCTCTTTGGGGATCTTTGAGTTTCTTGGATCTGGAAAATCATATCACTCCTAAAACATGGGAAGCTTTCAGCTATTATTTTGTTAAACAGGTAGGTTTTCAATGCCTTTTCCCTTCTTCCCCTCTTCTTGGAAACTCATAATGTAAATGCTTGTATGCTTAATGTCCGATAAGTCTTGCAGCCTTTTCCTCCTTTTTTTTTGGTTTTTTGACTTGATTATTTCAAACAAACTGTTTTCAACTTTAGAAATTATTTCTTCTGCTTAATGTAGCCTGTTGCTTAAGCTCTTGGTTGTGTTTTTCTTTTATTTCATTTAATAAACATTTTAGTTCCAAGATTTCTGCTTTTTTAAAATATCTTTTTGTTGAATCAGATCAAAAATTGTTTTTCTGATTTTGTTGAATGTTCTATTTGTATTTTCTTGCATCTTATTGAATTTTCATATGATTATTATTAGGAACTTCCTTTCAGGCATCTATCAGATTTCCTTTCTTTCAGGTCTAGTACTGAAGAATTATTGTATTCCTTTAGGAGTGTCATGTTTCCTTGTTTTTTTCATGTTTCTTGTATTTCTCTGTTGATGTCTGGGCATCTGGTGGGATAGTAACTTTTTCTAATTTTCTATAGTATCTTTTGAAGGGAGGGACTCTTTCCTGTAGATGTGTTCTATAGCGTCAGTTGGGTACAGTGTTTTAGGTTTGGGTCTGGGTGATTACAGCAGTGTCATGTCTGTGTTATTTCTTCAACTGTATTCAGCATCAAAATTGTCTATGAGTATCTCTGTGGCCTAGGTGCTTGGGCATTCAGTAGCTTCTTGTGG